CTTGAGTGCTAGGATTACAGGTGTGCATCACCACAGCAGTAAGATTCTTACTGTAATTGTCATTCTTCACATTTTCTAGAAACATCTACTATAAGCACAGTAAATCTCCTTAGAAATCAAAAGAACAAGTGAATGTAACTGGTCTGAGTGAGTATAATCTGTTGATTATGCTAAAGCTTTTTAAATAAAAGTAGCAATAAAATTTTATGAAGTTTATCTCAATTTTTATATAAATAAAAATTTACAAACATATACTACATTACAGTGCATTCTAGTGGTCTCAGGAAAAACTGCAACAAACTTTACAAAATTAAAATTAAAATTAACAAATTTTGCATAACATTTCATACAAGATTAGATAAGAACTAAAAATTGAGTAACAGCAGCCTTTACTACTTAATCCCAGAGCCCTCCTCAAACTTCCTGACATTCCTTTTGACTATATTCAAACACTTTCACACTCATATTGTTTCCACTGTTTTAACACTTCTCATCCAGCTGACCAATCTTGCTTGTTCACTGTTTTCTGTCTCATTCTGATTACAAAACAAATAATCAGATCTCATATGTAACCATTCTGTGTTTAATACATAGTTATTCTTCAATTGACCTGGCTGGTAAATTAACAGTTTTCAATAAGCATTCCTCTAGTTCCAGCTCCTTTTGAGGCTCAAATAGGAGGTGTGTTTGAGCCAATTAAACTCAAGACCAGTTTAATGATTAACTTCAGTGAATAATCACTGAATTGCTATCATGTAGCAGATAGTATACTGGCTGCAGGGAACAAATTACAGCAAGTAGTTAGATGAGGGTACAATCAAGAAGATGCTTAAAGAGACAGGAATGTAAATAAAGAACACTGGCTTAGGAGTTATAATAGTGCTACAGAAATGTGGTTAAGGATTATCTAATTCTGCCCAAAGTAGTGTCAAATACAGCTAACAAAAAGAAGGAAACACATGAAATTTTAGTTAAATCTTCAGAAACATTATTTTTCCAGTCACAAAAATAGATGGAGAGGCTATTTCTTTCAGGAATATCATGGAAGTGGAAAAATACACATTATAAAACACAAGTGTGTTTAGTGTCCAAATGTATTGGTTGTAGAGGAATAATTTTGAAATCAGCTAAGTATTTTAAAATTATTATTCCATTAGTATTTACAAAATGAATTCTGTGGTCATGGAAGATGAACTGGTATATGGAAAAAGGGCAAGGAAGAAAGCTGGGTTCTCACAGTAGCGCATACATATAAAAGTGGCAGTGAATGCAGAGAAATGGGAAACATGAAATGTTTCATAATATATTGTATAGTATTTGAGGTTCCTCAAAATACAATTTCCTGAATAACTTTCATATTACAGGGTTATTTTCAGTTTTGTTTTACTGGGTTTTTTTGGTACCACGGATTGAACTCATGACCTTGCACTTGCCAGACAAGCACTTGTGCCACTGAACTAAATCCCGGGCCTTTGTTTATTTGTATTGCAGTCCCCAGGGCCCTCACATGGAGCTAAATAAATTCTCAGTCCTTTCAAAAGCAAAATTTTTGAGACAGGGTTTCACTAAGTCATTAAGTTGTCCAAACTGTGCTAAAACTTTTGCTCCTCTTGCCTGAACTTACCCAAGTACTAGAAGTACAGGTGTTTACCACCACACTGGGCCACGATGCGTTTTTTTGAAATTTGCTTCTTTTGGAAATTTTATCACCTTTAAGGAATGCTTTGATAAATTTATTGCTAAGTGAGTAACCCCTTTATTAGGTTAACGATTCAGTTTTTACTTAACTTTGGATCTTCAAGTGGGGCTACTTTAAAAATCTAAAGCAATGCAGTACCACGATCCTTAGTAGTCTACAGTGTTCGCAGGAGAAATAACAAAATACTTGAAATTTAGTCTACAATCCATCAAAATGAAACAAGGAAGACAAAAAGATTCTTCAGGCCAGTAGTGTGCTACATACCCATAACTCTAGCACTTGGAACACTAAAACAGAATGATGCCACTTTTAAGGACAACCTGGACTACACATTATGAGTTTAAGGCCAGCATGTACTACATAGTGAGACCTTGTTTCAAAAGAAACAAAAAAAATTTTTTTCTCAAACTCCTGCCATTAAGGGCATTAGGAAGATAATTTAAGAATAAAAAAAAACTAAATTGTTCCAGAGTTCCCAAGTTTTGTTTTAAAGTCCTAATATTAAAACATTAGAAAACTATTTTGGAGTAAAGAGTACTGAAATACTTTTTCTAAGCCACAAAGAAATTTTTTTCATTCCTTAATTTATTACATTGTAAAAGTACAATTATTTTAAGAATAATCCCAAATCTTCCCATTAAGTCTAACAGATACAAAATACACAAAATATTTTAATAGGAGGCTACCAATAGTTTAAGGAAAGAAAAAAAGGAATGTTCCCTAAACTCAGCCAGGTTTTTCTGTCTTGTGTTCTTCAAAGTCAAACTTTTTCAAGGAAAAGTGACTTAAGCTGTCTCCACTTTACACTTCACACTCAGTCTCTGTGATCTGGCTTATGTTCCTACTATCTCACTGAAGTTTTTCTGGCAAGGAAAAAAGCAAATTCCCAAATGGCAAATCCAAGTGACCGCTTTGAGTGCACATTTTACGTGAAGACTGCTTGGTCTCTGCAAATGTCTAACTCCTTCCCTCCTGTTACTTGCTTTTAAGCTATTGTTGTCTCCTTCTTTCTCTAATGCTTTGTTGGCTCTTCTTCCTCTGTCTTCAAACAGTTCTGTTTCTTGTTGATCTTCTCTTCTCTTTCCAACATAATTCTTCTATCTCAAAACCCATCTGGGAGCAATTCTCGAATTACCTTTCTCCCTCACCTTTTAGACCACCTTTGCATTTTTATAACATCTCCAAATTTTACAGATTATTTCTATTTAAAATGAGTTATGCAGGCTGGGGATAGAGCTCAGCAGCACAAGCACCTGCCTGGCAAGTGCAAGGTCGTGAGTTCAATTCCTGGTACCAAAAGAAAAAAAAAAGAGCTATAAGTGAAACCTCTGTTTCTACAGCTACTGTTATCATTGCTCTCTTTAAACTGAGTCTCCTACCTGTATTAACAGATCTTTCAAGTACAGCATCCAAACAGATCAGCGTATTTTCTAAAATACATTGCACACTATTTTATGTTTAAAAACCTTTCAACAGCATCAAATAACAACATTCTAACCTTTTACACAATGATTACAAATTTCTGAACATACTACACAATTTTGTACCAGGTATCATATCTCTATGATCATATTCTGTATCATACTGATTGGCAAGCATCTTATTTGTTATGGTGCTACCCAAGTTTCATCTCCTCTGATTATGGCCTCTTCTATAGTTCCATCTTTCAGATGGTAATATTCACTCCCTTCTTCATGACCCCACTCTATATATTCCCCACATACTTCTATGATAGCACCCATCATACCTCAGCTCAGTTTTGTGTTTTACAAGTCTGGATATGTACACTTGCACACAAGCACACCCACACACAACACCTCTTTAGTATTTGCTTATTTCAATTATTCCGTCTTATAAGACAGCTTAATACTGGTATTAACAGGTTAATACTTAATATTGGTAAATAGCATAAGCTTCACGGTAGACAATATTGGGGAATCTGACCCACAGTTCTACAATAGCTCTGATGCACTATTTAAATTACTTCATTTTAATCCTTGGGGCCTGGTAAACACAACTAATCAATAAACAGTTGTTTTTATAAATGCTGTTATTCTGTCTTTTGTTAAACAGACATATAGGTCAGCTTAAGATTTCCTTTTTTTTTTTTTTGGTCCCAGGGATCAAACTCACAACCTTGTGCTTACCAGGCAGGTGCTTGGGCCACTGAGCTAAATCTTCAGACCAGATCTCAACTTTTTAAAAATCATGTCCCAATATAGTTCTCAAACCACCTCTCAAAATTAAAAAAAGAAAAAAAAAAAAAAAAAAAACCACCTATTTTTCACTATGAAGTAAAAATCTCTGTGCCATTTAAAGGTTTTGTATTTTTATAGTAGTTTTACAAACAGTCCATTTATCAACTTCAGAAAAACAATTGAGCATTAAAAACACAGCAAGAAAATAGTAAACTAGAGAATTTCAGTATCAAATACCAAACTTTATCTAAAATAATGACCACTGGGGGGGGGGGAGGAATCCTAGGACCATTCATTAAAGTAAATTTCCAAAACTCTCATTTATGACCTATTTTCCTATACTTGTGACCCAAAAGTAGCTGAGTATCTTAGACACTAGCAAAATAAAAAGGTAAGATTAGCTTTCAGAGAGATAAAAATAGATGCAAGCAAAGGAAGAATACACACACACACACATACACACACACGCACCCTCCACAAATTCATAAAAAGATTCTTAGCATAATCTATCAAAGCAATTTATTTCATTAAAAATCACTTCAAACAGTAACAGATGACAGGGAAAGAAGGTGTAACTACCTACATTTCCTTCACAATTAGAAAACTTTGAACGCTCTACAGACATGCATACTGATTATACATATTAAAGACATGCATATTGACTAGGTGGCACACACCTACAATCCCAGCACTTCACAGGCTGAGGCCAGAGTATTGTACTGAGTTCACAGAGAACTTGGGTTACATGGTGAGATCAAACCCAGCCTGAACTATACAGGGAGACCCTGTCTCAAAAACAAACAAACAAACAAACAAAAACCTAAAGAACAACCCCAGCCAACATATCCATATTTCAGGAAGCACATGCATTTCTTAATTAAGATAAAAGTCAGGGAAAACGCTGATAAACTGTTCTGAGTCATACAGATAAGTGTACTGTTCATTAGAATTAAATAGATAATAAACAGTAAACAGACAAAATATTTATTATAGATATCTTGAATGCAAAATTATAGAGTATTAAAATTTGGATTTGTTTTAGGAATAAAGAAAAAACTATTCTGGCACTTAAGAGAACATCCCCTTCCATTTTACTGAATTACCTTTCCTGTTTAAGGGCATATTCTAACATTTTGATCCTCCTCACAAGATCCTTCTTCAGGTTTTCTTGCCCTTTTCTTTCTCCTTGAAGGAAGGCAATCTGAGCCTGTGGAGAGGAGAGAAGAACAAACTTCAGTTTAGAACAAATGTATTAAAATTTTTTTTTTCAGTTTAGGAAAGAGCCTCTGGAATACAGCATAATTACATACATTTCCTTTACAAATCTGTCACGAAGTATGGAAAATACAGAAAAATATTTGTTGGGGCACAACTATGATACAGGAACACATTTGAAAAACAGCACACTTATAGGTATTTCATAATACAAATTAGAAGTAACTGACCATAATATAAATTAGAGGTCTTTGACCAAGTTTTTGCTCCTTAATTCAATTGACCTTGAGAGTGTCTAACACCCCACCACGTAATTCTGAAGCAGGAGTCAGAGTAACTGTCTATACCTTTAGACAGCCCAGGCTAGTCAAGGACACTGTTAACTGTGTTCCCCCGGCAAGGGCCTTCTCCCTTTGTTCCCAGAGTATTTCTATATTATGATAAACAATTCCTTTGTTTCAACAAATCTGTTCAAGACTAGCCGGCCTGTAAATATACGACTCAATGCATATAACAAATTATGTAATGTTTTGTCACTTGCCTTGTACCTACTTCTAAATTTTATATAAACTATGTTTTCCATAAACTCAATGCTCTTGCCTTTAAGAAACCATCCAGCAACAGTCCACTGGCATAAAGATTAAACACCACTTTCACACCTCAGTGAGAAAAGTCTTTTTCCTTTCAGTTTGACTTGGAAATTTTCCTGCAATATATTGAATACAAAGGGTAAAAAGTCTTATTTTGTTTTTTTTTTTTAAAGGGACACCTATATGCACTTTACTTCAAAGTTGGGACATTACAACTTGTAGTCCGTATCTTCTCAGAGTCTATAACCTAACCAACATAACCACAAACATACACAAGGCATACAATGGTTTATTCAAGTGTTCATATTTGAAAGTTTCTTTTTTATAGCAACTATGGAAAACAAAAGCAGGAGAACTCTTACAATCTCCCTGCAAATTAGGAATTTCACCATATGTATGAATTTTATTAGATTCCTTATCCTGAGTGACTATCCTGACCTTCCCTACAAACAATAAATATCTCCCGTGTTGCAACCTGATTAGGAAATGTATTGTGCAGAAGAAAAGAAAATTAAAGTTGGAAAACAGAAAATCCCAGAAGTAATAGTATTCTGTCCATTCTCCCATCCCTCGAAGAATTATTAAAATCCAAACATTTCACATAAAACTATACATGACTTTTATATTCAGTGAAAAGCTGCTCTCCAGAATAATTAACACATTTAGGGGTGCTGGAGAAGCACTGCCTGGCAAGCACAAGATCCTGAGTTTGATTCCCATTATCAAAATAAGTAATTAACTAATCAAATACAATTTGGAACTAAAACAGTATCTTTCACTTAATAATTAAAACTACATTGCAAATACTAACTCATCCAAATAATTCTAATACTTGTAAAAGACACTGAGGACTACAATTCTCACATGTCCCCCTACCCCAGTTTCTATATTAGCCTGCTACAACACATAACAATCTTATTTTTATATTTATGATGTCTTCTATTTAAGCAAGTTCACATTCAAAGATGATCTTAACTACATCCTTAAAAAATGATGATTTAGTAAGTAAACTTAATTCTACTTAATTTGAATGAGACTCAATTCTATTTATATTTAGTACCAAAATGAGCATAAAATCCCACTTACCCATCCTATTATACCCTTCAACATAAAGGTACTGTAGTATTTTTATTTTCATTTCAATGGGCTATTGAATTTTATATTAATCCAGTTAAAAGGATTAGATTTATCTGAAAATAATAGTTCTAAAACTATACAGTTGTATACATAAAAGAAAAGCATCAAATATTCATGCTTCAATGATCAATAGTTTGAAATTATGTACTATGTAATGAGATAATCATTTTACTTTGATAAAATGACACATATACCTAAAGCTGATAAAATCAAAGTTCTGTCAGGTGGGTATGGTGACACACGCTTATGATCTGAGCACTGAGGAGGCCGAGGCAGGAGAACTGATGGGAGTTGGAGCCTACATAGTGAGTTCAAGGCTGACTGGAAGTACACAGCAAGAACCTGTTTCAAACAAAAGATGGGAGGCATCTTGTCAAAAGAAAACTGACAAGCTGAACATTGGTATATACCTGTAATCCCAGGACTCTAGGAGGATAATGCAGGAAGATCACAAATTTTGGAGCCCAGCTTGGGCGACCTAGCAAGACTCGGTCTCAAAATAAAAGACATAAAAGGGGGGGGGGGTGTAGCTCAGTGAGAAGGCCCTGAATTCACACTCCAATAATACTGAAATCATTGAAGAAGTACATTCAAAAGGAAAACGATACAAAAAAACTAGTTGGGTTGGATATTTCTCATTTTTTCCTCAATTACCTCCTATGGAAGAGAAACAACATTCACTTTTATAAAAATCTAAGATAAAATATGAATAGTAGTATGTTGTACCTAACCTTAAGAAAAAGCATACAATAACATTTTAGTAATCTTCTTTATATCTTAATACCTTATTAGAAACTATCCTTATTCTCTCTGAAAAGCTTTGGATTGCTTATGCTCTGTAACCCTTGGAGTATAAGACTAATTTTATCATCAAGATGCATCTGCCAGACTCACATTTATTCTTTAGACTATTTCTGATGAATTGTTAATTTTAATTTTATGAGTTTTTATATTAAACAATGAGTACTTAATTGGAAAAAACCACAAAAAATTTTTTAATATTTGTTTTTAAAAAAGCATCAAAAATTTCAATATCAAGTGGTTTTTGCTGGGCAAAGTCTAAAGAAGATAGCAGAAATAAATCTCCATATGAACTACCATGAAAATACTAGCAGCGCTCCACACACAAAAAAATCTCTGCTTCAACTGCCACATCTAAGGCACTTGGCACACATGACAAAAGCATGTCCTATACACACATATCACACGGACAGCACGCCTTGTTTTCTTGGCATTTTTGTAGGCATACTTGACATCTCAGTGGTCTTGTTGTTTTCTCAGAAGACTCTTGTTTTTGGTGCCTGGGACTGAACTCACGACCTTGCATTTGCCAGGCAGGCATTTACGCCACTGAGCTAAACTCCCGGCCCCCAGAAGACTTTTATTATACAGTGTGTAGTTAACAGGATAAAAATGTCACTCACATAAACTACTGAAGTCTTAATATGTATTGTGTTTAAAATAGCAACATTTTCATGTCAGCTGTCAGAAATCAATCAGAAATAAATTCCTTATTAGAGATAGCAGGAGGCATTATGGTAACCATTATTGATCACCTTGTATTATGCTTTTACATTATCTGTTATGTCCACCCTTTTGATTTGATTGACTCTGTTCTGTTATGTCACATTTGGTTCTACTCCCTTCCAAAAAAGTAATAAGAACTGTGGGAGCAACAAAACCCAAAATGTGTAATTGTCATTGTACAAAAGAGAGGAAAAGAAAGTGCTCTAAACTATATAACTGCATGTATATTTAAGTGTATAAGATAGAAAATGTATCACTGAGTTTTATTGGATCATTGAACAGAACTGTTTGCAGTCTCACTGTTGGATTGTCCACTTTACAAGCTTTAATTTTGTGACTTGAACAATTATTTCTAAGATGACAATATGTAATCCATTAACTAGTGATTTCCTACTGTTTATTTTTCCTGTAAATCTGTATAACTTGTACCCTTTCTATGCTTTTTTTTTTCCTCTCCTTAAATAAAATTAAAAAAAAAAAAAGAAAGAAATTCCTATATGAACTACAATGAAAATACCAACAAAAGTCTACCACAAAAAGAGCTTCGCAGGCTGGGGATTTAGCTCAGTGGCATAAGCACCTGCCTTGCAAGTGTGTGGTCCTGAGTTTGATCTCCAGTACTGACAAAAAAAAAATAAAAAACCAAAAAAAAAAAAAAAAAGCTTCGCTTCAACTGTTACATCCAAAGCAGTCTTCACACATAACAACTATATGTTTCGTATACAAGTATAACTTACACTAATATAATAGTACATGTGTTTTGTTTTCCTGTATATGGGCCCTTTTTTGTTGACACTTTTTTTGTTTTCTTGCTGTCATAATAGGTCCTTGTGATGCTGTGTCTATTCAGCTATCAGCTCACCACTGTGCTCCACAAATTTTGTGTGTAGTTCCCTGGGCAGAAGCATTTTGTTTTTCCAATCTTTTCTGTTTCAAGTTGCTGCATAACACATCAACAACTCCACATTAGTATTTCCATGAGGATGAAATGTTGACATAAGCAGTACCAGTTTGCTTTTCTTTGCCATACATGAGGCCAATGTCATACCTTTCTAAAATTCAAAGATTGAACGATACATGTCTCTGTTTTTAAATTACATTTCATTTGGAATTTCTGCTTTTTTCCTGTGTACAGTTCTTGCACTGGTCAACTTGTGATCTGTTAGCAAATGTAACATAAATTAGAAACTGGTTAACCAACTGTCCAATGTCACATTCCAATTAGTTCAGGAGATGAGAGCAAAAGTCCACAACATCACTTAGTTTATTACTATATAAATAAGGTCCCAATGGCTGAGTTCCTGGATAAATGTCTAAATTAAAAGTGCAAATCTTCACATCTACAAGGGCATAAATTTTTATACCTTATTTTGACCTTTGACTCTTTTGTAAGTCTTTTACATTCCTGCAATCACTGCAAGAAATCCATGCTAAGTACAGTAGATCTATGAATGCTTTCTGTTCAGCTAGTGAGGTATCATAGTAAAAACATTTTTGAATATGGCTACTGGTGCATACAGAACATTTTTCTTGCATGTCAGCCTTTGTGTATGTTATGGTTTGTGTCTGGATGTATCACCGAAGCTTCATGCAATCATGGGGGCAGGCTTCTAGAGTTTGTGATTGATTTATGGTCCAATGCTGGGATTATGGGTGTGAATGCTACACACACCTGCATAGCCTACATACAATATAAGAGACAGAGTTTTCTCTCATGCTGTTTTGCTTTTGCTATCTT